TCAAATCAAGAAGGAAAATAGCACATCCAGGACTTCTGTGCTTACATTGAACACAGAAATACTTGCATGAAGTTTAAATGGTGTTGGAGATAATTAAGAAGACCAGAAAGCTATGATTTCTAAAGTCTAAAATGCACTTTGGGGTTTGACATACATAAATTAATTGTTTGACTCTCTAGCTGAAGCAAGTCATAATCATTATGTTGTCATGCGGTAATTAGTTTTGTTTAATACAAGTAATATAAATTAAGTCTGAGGTACTTTGGCAATGCCTTTTACAAATCCCAAAACAATATTTAAAGGCTGTAGACTATGGGTTCCCAAACTGGGGTCATGAAGAAATTCCAGGGGGGCGGGGAGCGAGGCGACCTGCTCCCCCCTCCCCCCTCCTCTCCATCAAGTTTTGCTGCCCTGGTCAGTTCCGTGGTTGTTTTTTTTAACAATTTTTGCTGCTATTTTTGTGGGGGGGGTTCTCAGAAATCAAAAAGAGGGTGTGATGCTGAAAAGTTTGGAACCACTGCTGTAGACTTTTAGTTGGTCAACTAAATTATGGTAAAGTTTGGAATGTAATGCTCAGGAGACTGTTTTTTCCCCCCCATTTTGGTCATTTTGTAACAGTTTGGTACTTTAGCATTAACCTTTAATAGAGCTAAATGAAATATACATGTCCTGATGAATAATTATGAGATTGCATGAATTTTTATTTACCATATAATGCTTTACAGCGGGGCTGGGAGCAGAAGCCAACTGCCTGCATGCAGGGGCTGGGAACAGGAGCTGTCCCTGCACGCAGGACTGCTGGCTCCTCCGTCACACACCCCCCCCCCCACCCCCCCCCCCCCCCCCCCCCCCATCCTCCCAGCAGCAGGAGCCTGCTTAATCGATTAACCGGTTAAACCTAAGGTTTAACCAATTAACTGGGATTTTACATCCATAATTGGCTATGGTATTTTGAGCCTGCTAGCACAAACATTAATATTTTAGAGAAATGTCATGGATAAAGTTTTAGGTCCTCACTTGATGTATTTTAAAGTTTGTATTATTGTCCTACATCAAATAGGCTGGGACCATGATCATTAATCCAAAATTCTGGACAGGCTCTGCTGAAAAAACAATGAACTGAAAAAAAATGTGGTGAAATGATCATTTTAGGTATTAGTTGTTTTGGCTGCATAGGAGCAGGCTCATGTTTTGACAGCCTGCACCTTAATTGGACTGTGTATAAATATTGTAAGGAGTTCTCTGTGCAGCCATAACTTCAACTTTATGTGTAATTTCTTACCCAGACCCTCTGCACCTGCCACAATAACATTTTAAATTTGATTTATTATAAATATTTTAATAGAGATAATAATAATGAAAAGTATTTGGCCTAAAAACATAAATGAAAAAGCTATGTAGTCATAAACTATGTATGTATGTACTGAGAACAGATGACAAGCAGCCTAGAATTTATATTATGAAAACAGTAATGTCATAAGCTGTTGAAGAACTAAATAACAAAATGCAGCATACTGCTACTTATGTCATCTCTGAGCTTAACATAACCCAGCACTGTTCTTTTATAAACTGTGAAACAACGCTGGCATATTGAAAAACGCACAGGCTCATGCTTAATGTGTTAACAGAGATACAATAGACTTATTATGTTTCCAGAGTCTGAGGGTGGTCTGCAAAATTAATGACTACGGTGTTTGAAAATTAAGTGAACTCACTAATATATACTGTTGTTGATCCACTGAGTTTGGTGTTTAGCATTCCTCAACAGGAGACTAAATCTTTGCAGCCATTTCAAAAGTGATGCTGGCGCCCGTAACAGAAATGTATTCAATAATTTTTTATAAACCCATTGGACTCCAGTATTTTTCTTCGTTGACTGGGAAGTAGACTTCCCAGAATAAATTCTCTGTCCATACATGGCAGGTGTTTTCTAAGTGTTTGTAGCAGAACAGAAAATGATAGCATTGACAATAGAAGATATAAAGTGTTTCAAATTTGTATTTAATTAATTGTGTAAGAAAAATAGGGAATAAGTGCCATAGAATTTCCGATTAGCAGAATTAATTTTGATTAGCATTTGTTTACTAGTAAGTGTCACTATGATAGAAAATGAGCCAAAGATTTGTAATCATATTCACACTAGTAATTCTGTTATCAAATGACACATCTTTCACAGATCTGCACAGCTGTACTTGTTTGTGCTTTATGGCTGAAGGCCTTGTGGTAAGGTACAAGCTTATTGAAAAGTATGGTTCCATGAAAGAGGAGTTATTTAAAGAACTCCATTAAGCAGTAATTAATATAATTTTGGCTTTTTTTATTCGTTTTGTTGTTTTTATGTCTTGTTCATGAAAATAGATTGGATCTTGAGACTTTCATGTCTCATTAGTCTATGTGATTTTAAAGATGCTGTCAAAATACTTTGTTTCAAAAAATATAGTATTCATCAGTTAGAAAATAATGGAGATCCTAAATATAAAGAATTGTATATAATTCTCAAAAAAATCATGGGAGGTAGAGGAAAGTAAATCGGCTCTAGGCCTCACTAAAACAGCACTGTGTATGACTACAAGAATGTCATTTTAACTAAGGAAGAAGGAGAATTCCTCCACAAAGAATTTCAAGATTCTGAGCTTCTGACGTGGTGTCGCTGTTGTCTTTTTATTGTTTAGATCCAGTTCCCGCTCTTGATCTAGGACAGCAGCTTCAGCTTAAAGTCCAGCGCATGCATGATATTGAAACAGAGAACCAGAAACTTAGGGAAACGCTAGAGGAATACAATAAGGAATTTGCTGAAGTGAAAAATCAAGGTAGGTGCAAAAAATGGATGCTTTTTCTCTGATTGTATTTCTAACAGTTTGAAGAAAGTTAGAATTGCCCTAAGTGTATTTAATAAAATTAGAATGTGCAGATACATTGTTGCAGGGCATCCCCACTGTAAGTCGCCCTGGCATACATCCGTTCCATACTAAAGTCGTTGACGCTTGTAGGAACTGATGCATTATAAGTCGTAACATTCCTCACTCTTAAATCACGCCAACCCCCCTCCCCCCCCATTTGTGCAAATGGAAGTCTGGCGTGGGAGAAAAATTGCCTGCTTTAAGTTGTTTTGCTGTAAGGCCAAAGTTTTTGGAACCTATCTTGAACTTCTAGTGAGAACGGCCTGTTTTTAAGAAAGGAAGACTGTTGCATGCTTTGAAACTTGTGTGTCTGCATATGAGTATTGTAGTTTGACTGGACCAATAGGATTTCCTTTAGAACTTTTCCTATGGTATCGTGAAATAGCGGGGCATCCTTTCTTTCTTTCTTTCTTTCTTTCTTTCTTTCTTTCTTTCTTTCTTTTTTTTTTTTTTTTTTTTTTTTAAAGCATTATTTTGTTGTTACCTTAAGCACTATCTATTTATTAGTGATCTGGCTAGCCTTCTGAGGTTAAATAGCACTCGTTAAATACTGAGATAATAGTAAAACTACTCTAAAGCCAAATACTGGAAAAAAAAAAGTGGAAATACTGAAGTAATGCTTTATTATTTACGGCAATTGGCAAGTTTTTTTATGATGGTACATGAAGACCACTATCTAAGATGCAAAAACCTGCTGTCTCTGAAAATACCTAGCTTTCTGAAAAACATGCTTCCTGCACCAGGAAACAAAATATGATCATTCTAAAACCTATTTCCCTTTACACACCACTTGTGGTTTCCTTGTGATTATCCAATACAGTAGCAGCAGATTGTTCCACCGCATGGGAAAGTAGACTGTGTTTATCATGTAAAACTGTTCCAGCATTGCTCAGCTCTCACTGCTCCTTACCACTTTACTAGGGCATGGTATGCTGCATCTAAATTGTAGCCAAAGGAGCATGTTACAGCCATCTCTTTCGTTATTATGAAGCGGCCTATTGAGATTGGAGGTCCCTTACCATGCAGGTCTTCAGATTCGACTGCAAGAGATACACAGCACAGTAATGTTCTCCGTGGCGCACTACTGGCTATGCACTTGGACCACCTTTATGGAGGAGTTTGGGGCCTGATCTTGGAAAGTGCAAAGGACCTTCAGCTGCAGTTGTGTGTTTGTAGAGGATTAGCGCTGAAATATTTCAGTCAGGATCAAGGCCCCTTACGCTAAGAGTTATGCAAACATGCAGAGGGACATATCATGAATAGCTTGTGATCTTGAAGTCAATAAGAGCTATGGGCAGTCTGTACCTTGCAGGTTTGGGCTCTTTAGTGCAATTCTACACATTTCACAAATTAGCATTTACTACGAGTAGCTTTTTTTTATGCTTTATGCATTTATTTCGTTCATGTACCAAAGCATTTAATTCTGGAAGTGCAGTTCTACACCGTAGTTTAAACAGAAATGGTCTGCATATGTTAGGAATGACTTGCAGAGGCCTGTTAGTAGTTGAGGGTATTTTGATTTCTTTCCACAGATGGGTTATACATGGTTTTAAATGAAATTAAAAACATAAGAATGGCCTGTATGATGGTTTTTGTTAGTTGGAGATACCTGGAGCATGGGATTGCATTCCTGATCATCTTAGCTATAACAGCCATTGATGGAACTTTTTTGAAGCCATTTATGTGTGGCCTTCACAACATCCCATGGCAGTGAGTTCCACAGGTTAACTGTGTATTGTGTGAAGTAGTACTGCCTTTTCTTTGTTTTATACCTGCTGCCTGTTAATTCCGTCTAGTGACCCCTAGTCCTTGTATTATGTGAAAAAGTAAATAACACTTCCCTGATTGCTTTCTCTGTGCTATTCATTATTTTATAGCTCTTTCGCCTATCCACCCTTAGTTGTCATCTTTTCCAAGATGAACAGTCTCCATCTTTTTAATCTGTCCTCATATAGACACTTTTCTAAAGCCCCAGTCATTTTTCTTGACCTTCTCTGTACCTTTTCAAACTCTAATATATGTTTTTGAGGTGAGATGATCAGAATTGCACACAGTATTCGTAGTCTTATATATTGGCACTGTGGAATTTTGTGTTGTCTTATCTATCCCTTTTCTAATGCTTTCTAATATTCTGAGAACTTTTTAAAACTGCTGTTGTATATTGAGTGGATGTTTTTGGAGAACTATCCACAATGACTCCACTCAGCTTTGTTATTACCTAATTTGAATCATTTATATTGTCTGCCAGTTTAGCCACCTCACTGTTTCACCCCGTTTTGCAGATCATTTAGAAATACGTTGCACAACTCAGGTCCGACTACAGGTCCTTGGGGAACTCTCTCCATTGTGAAAGCTGACAGTTTACACCTATCCTTTGTTTCTCATCTTTTAACTAGTTACTGATCCATTAGCATGGTGTTCAACACGCTAGCTGCTAGCCACATGTGGCTCTTTGTCCAGCTGAGTGTGGCTAGTTTGCTATAGCAGTAGCCACTGTAGTGGCTACAGCTTCAGAACTGGTTGGACCCCACAGCATTAGAGTATCTTTTCTCTTACCTCAAAACTGCTTACTTTGCTTGAAGGCCTTTCAAAGGCTTTCTGACAGTCAGGTACACCATATCTAATGAATCACCTTTCTTCACATGTTAGTTGACTCCATCGAATAATTCTAAAACATTGGTGAGGCATGATTTCCCTTTACGAAATCACCCCTATGTTGACTCTTCCCTACATGTCATGTTTGTTTATGTAGCTGATAAATTTATTTTTGTTATCATTTCAACAAATTCAAGCCTGTAATGGGGAGGATCAGCTCTTTTTTAAAAAAATTAGTATTACTTTAGCTATCCTGTAGTCATCTGGTGTAGAGGGTTATGCAGGACTCTTGGGTAAATAGAATCTAGTCCTGGTGCCTTATTGCAATTTAATTTATCAGTTTGTACAAATACCACCTCTACTGACACTTCAGTATGGGACAGTTCCTCAGTTTTGTCACTTAAAAAGAATGACTCAGATGTGGGGATCTCCCCTACATCCTCAGAAGTGAATACTGATCAGAGAATTCAGTTAGCTTCTCCACAATGGCCTTATCTTCCTTGATTGTGCCTTTGCCACCTAAATTATCCAGTAGCCCCATTGATTTTTTTTGGTAGGCTCCCTGTTTCTGATGTATTAAAACATTTTTTTTTTTTTGCTATTAATTTTTGTGTCCTTAACTTAATTGCTCTTCAGACTTTCTTCTTAGCCTGCCTTTCCTATATTTTCACTTGATTGCTCCTTTCTATTTTCCTCACTTCCAGGTTTAAAGACTCTCTTTTTGCCTCTATCCGCTAGTTAGCAATAGCGTTTTGGATCTTTTTTTTGAGGGGGCTGGAGATGTATTTATTGGAGCTTCTATTTTGCTGTTTTCTGTCTCCATGTGATTATCACACATTTTACCGTGTGAATATTCCTGTTCAGTTTCCAGTTTTTATGTACTTCCCCTTTTTGAAGTGAAATGCTACTGTGATATGTTTCTTTTGGTGTTTTTCCTCTTACGAAGGTGTTACATTAATTATACTATGCAAAGCCGTCCCATCCATCGGACGATTCAGGGTTCACCACTCCAGGCCCCCTGCTTTTGGGGTCCCCTTAGTGGCTGCTCCAACTGTCCTGTGGACAGGAGGGAGCCTGGGATGACAGGGGCTTGGTCTGGGGTGGCAGCAGTGGTCACCTCAGCTCCTGCTTCACGCGTGGTGAGTGGGGGGGAAGGAAGAGTGGCCTGGCAGCCAGCTCTGCCCCAGTCCGCTGTGCTCGACTTCTCTGTGACAGCGAAAAGCAGAGCGCGGAGGGCACTCTATTTCCCACCACCATGAGAAGCAGGGCACAGCGGGCCGTGGAGCAGAGCAGGGTGTTGGGCTACTCTGGCTCCCACCACCCCCCCCCCCCCCTGCCACTGCACCAAGACCCCATAATCTCCCAAGTCGTGTTGCTCAGGGGAGGGGGCAAGAAGGTGCAATGGAGAAGATGCAGGGCTTGGGAAAGGGGGGGAGCAGGCGCAGGGTCTGCTGCGGGTGGAGGGGGGCAGAGGTTGCCCCAGGCCCTGAACCACCCTCAGGACGACCCTGATATTATGGTTGCTGTTACTGAGCGGGTCATCTATATTCACCTCTTGGACTAGATCCTCTGATCCACGTATGACTAAATCAGGAATTGCTTCTCCCTTTGTGAGTTCCAGGAGCGGCATATATGGTGACCAGAATTTTTAGCTCTGTATCCCTGCCTGAGGTGACACATACCCCGTCAATTTGAGGATAGTTGAAATCCTCCGTTACTATTGCTGCTTCTGCTTTTGCAGTCTGTCTCATCTTCTTGAGCATTTCACAGTCACTGTCATCATTCTGGTCAGTTGGTTGTAGTATATTCCTGCTTCTATAGTCTTATTGTTCAAGCATGGAATTTCTATCAGTAGAGATTTTATGGTACAGTATGATTCATTTAAAATTTTTGCTTATTTGACTCGATGCTTTCTTTCACTTAGGCTGTGTTTAGATTGCACTGTTAAATCGGAAGAAGATGCACAATATTTTTTCAATTTACTTTTGAAAGAGGCTCTTTCGAAATTTGGCACATCTACACAGTGCCAAATTGCGAAAGAAAGTGTGTTTTCGACCCATCCCTTATTTCCTCGTAGAACAAGGTTAACAGGGATGGCAAAAGAACGCATCTATTCTTTTGAAAAAGCGGATGCGTTCCTTGGACACATCATTGCTATTTTGGGACACCTCCGGTATCCCGAAAAAGCAGTGCAGTCTAGACGTAACCTTACAGTGACACTCCCCCACCTGCACAACCTACTCTGTCGTTCCTATATATTGGGTCCTGTATTACTACTGTGTTCCACTTATTCGCCTCATAACATCCAACTTTCTGCAGTGCCTATTACGTCGTTCTCCGCAATTAATACCAGACACTCTGGTTCACCCATCTTAGAATTTAGACATGTAGCATATTTATATAAGCACGTGTAAATTTGGTCAATTTCAATTTCCTGGCTTTACGTTTTATTATGGCATTTGTCTTTTGCACTTATGTACATTTTTTTTTGCACCCACTAGTATATTTAATATCACTTTCTTGGCCAGCTACATCTCTCTCTAGCAGTCTCAATGTATTGCTAGTGTGTGAGGCTTCATTAAATAATTCTTTTCCATACCCTATTCTTGTTGCAAAGCACACAAGTGTTGCTCCTTGTCTTGCTTTCCTATTGTAAATAGTAAGATATAAAAAAATTCTTCCCTTAGGTGTGGGGGGAGTGAGAGGCTCACGGACAATGTCCGTTAATGTAACCGAAAGATGAAGGGTTCCAGTTGTCTATTAAATCTGATCTATGTGTTAATTCAGCAGTAAAATCCAAACTGCCCTATTTTTTGTCAGTTGTGAAGCGGGTGTGTCTTCAGTAACTGAAAGGTTGGCTCTGTACAAGAGCCATATTAAGACTGCTGCACTTTATATGAGCACAGTTATGTGAATGAGCTATTTGTGTAAATTCATACTTAAACCACTGTGGGACTTGATTTATCTCCCTTCAGCAGAGAGCTAATTTGAGACTAATTAATAAGGTGATATTATATTTTACGATTGATTTTCTTTTTTTTTAGTCATGTTATAAAAACCCTGGCTCTGCTTCCGAGCAAAATCCATTGATCCTTCTCAACCTAAACGTTTAAAGTTCAGTTTAACATTTAGGGAGTAAAAGGTCTCTGAAGGGACTCATATCCATTGATTTTGTGTCAGAGTTGAAGAGCTAAAGTTTAAAACACACTGAGCCTACAGGGTAAAGAAAGCCTTGTCTTCTCATAACCACATGGAACTGTGTAAATTCATTCTTTGCCTGTTGTTTTTCTGTAGAGGTTACAATAAAAGCGCTTAAAGAGAAAATCAGAGAATATGAACAGACCCTGAAGAACCAAGCAGAGAATCTAGCTCTTGAAAAAGAACAAAAATTACAAAATGACTTTGCGGAGAAGGAGAGGTGAGTGTGTGTATGTGTGTGTGGGTGTGTAGGTGTGTGTAGGTGTTGTCTGGAGGGAAAGAAACCTCATTATTCTGCTTAATCTTCCCAACCAGAGTCCTTCCTTCACTTCATCAAGACAGCTCATCTCTTGAATCATTTTAGTAATCTTTCACAGAAAAACAATTGTACAAGTGTATAAGTGAAGCCAGGACAGATTGTTACTTCACTACTGTTGTATTTGGGATGTAGGTGGTTGGGTTGATTATTTAGATTAAGGTCTGAGTGGGGAGACGTTAGATGTGAACTGGGAGATACTTTTTAAAATCAGTATTTAATAGTTACTCTGTATTTTTTAGTAGACCCAAGGTTTCTTTTTTTTTCTATCAAATATAGTTTACATAGATATACAAATAAAATTAAAGTAATGACAGTTTAGTGGAAGACAAATTATAGAAGAGGGTGTGTTAGAGGCGCTTTTTGACTAAAGCGCATCCTAAAATGTGGATAATTTAGTGTGAGGGAGGATAAAAAGAACTTTGACCTGTGTTTCTTACCATACATACTTGTTTACAAGTTTGAGAGAAAAGAAAATGTGTTCTTTGGTACAGTATTTTTAAATCAGATAACATGTAAACCAGGGGTGGAGAGCTTCATACCCAGGGGCCAGATGTGGCCCCTGGCTTGCCGGGATGTGGCCCCTGAGGCTCGGGGAATTGGAGAGCCCACGCTGGCTCTCCAACCCCTCCCCCCCACCGTCACCCCATCACAGGGCTGAAACACACAAAATTTACTAGGCTGGGGCCCCCAGGCTCTGGTGTGTGACGGGAATGTGGGGAGTGTCTTTCTTCTTCTCAGTTAGAGACCATGTCAGTGAGGGTTTTGTTTTATGCATTTCACTTGTGCATGGCCCCTGACTGACTTATCAGTATGTGAGCAGCCCCCGACCTAAAAAAGATTCTCCACCCCTGAAAACATGCAAAGTAATTGTTAGAAAGTTGGTTGATTTTGTCTGAATAGTATTTTTTTTAACATGATCCCCCGGAAGACATTTAAGATGCTGGGTGTTTTATGCACCATCATGACTATTTAAAATCTGCAGAATAGCTAAAGGTCTCTGAGCAATGTCACAGCAACTCTATGCTTAGTATAGGTTTTATAAGTCTAGTCTTTAGCAAAGTCTGGTGACTGTATGGCCAAGTGACCTGAAAGCATATGCTGTAACTGACACAAACATGGGAACCGTGCTTATGTACATAAGAAATAAGCTGGTCTGATCGGGTTATATATGAAATAACAATGTAAAATTTGCTTTGAAATGTGCATAGAGGGTGGTTAATACTGTTATTGTATTTAGAATCCATTGCCAGTATGATGATAAAACAGCTGTCAGACCTATTGAGAATATCATTTATAGCAACAAATTCCTTCAGTCTGACAGAAAAATGGAAATGTATCCTTCTTCTTGAGCTAACTTTTGTACAAAAGCGGGTATGTGGTGACAATTTTCTTAATGTGTGTGACATTTCCAAAACAATTTATGCTACGGAAAACCTTCCACTAACTATATCATTTATATAGCAGTCAAATCTTGTATTATGTTCGCACCATACATTTTGAAGTTGTTACACTGTTAAAATTTTAACAAGTGGGACTCCAAAATATGTACAGCTTTCCAATGATACATGGCTTATGGTTCCCATTGTGATACCTTATAGTATACATGGTACTGTCATTTGCCTATTTACACTTGAACTGATCAATCACATTATCTGTCAGATTGGCAAAATACAATTAAATTGTTAAATAAGGTCACCAGCTCCATTTTCATCTCTCTTTTTTAGAAAGTTGCAAGAAACACAGATGTCGACAGCCTCAAAGCTGGAGGAGGCCGAACACAAAGTTCAAGCTTTACAAACAGGTTTGGCATTGCTGTTGTGATCTGTACCAATGGCCAGGCAGGTAGTAGGATAAATACAGTGAAATAAGGACTGAGCTTGCATGTCTGTGTCAAGACTCAGGGGAACATCCATCCAGCAGTACTCAAAAATGGCCATGCAAATCAGAGCTTCTGTTGGGCTTCTTAGCCCTAAGGCTTCAGGCTTTGATGGCATCTTGATCTCTCCCCAGTTTTCTGCCTGTGGCACACAGCACTTTAGTCTCCTGAAGTCTGAAATGCTGTTGTCTAACCAAAATTACTATGCTTAGTATAGTGGTTACTGCGAAATTTGATGGCCTGTGCAGATCAGTCTAAATGATCTAATGGTCCCTTCTGCCCTTAAACTCTGTGAATCTATAAATTAACTACACACTTGTGCTATGGCCAACTATTGGTGGATGTAGTGGGTAAAGTCGAGATAGTGTAGTAGAGACATCGTTGGAATGTTCCTGCAACTAAAACAGGCCACAGAGCTGTGCTGTATAAAATAGTCAGAATGCAAAGTGAACTTTATTTCTGCTTCACAGCAAAAAACCTGCTATTTACTTTGCAATTCATCCTTGCATAGTGATGTTTGCCAGCCCATATAAGTTGGGGTCCATTGGGGTTTTTTTTCCCAGTGAACTTTTTGGACTGATTGGTATAAATATTTTAGTTGAAATGTGACAAATCTACATATGAACTGAATAATATCTTGCTATATTAAGTAGAATGGCAACTAGAAACTTTTACAATTTAAAAAAAGATTTAAAAGAACAGAAACAAAGTCTTAAAAGCTTTTTCATCATCTAAGTCACTATTTGTTTGGTCAAGTAGAATACTTAATGTAAGATGATTTTTCGACAGGAAATGGTTTATAGCAGGATAAAAAATTGAGTAGCCTTTTTACATTGCACAATGTACTGGTCTGTTACAATTCCTGTAACATTTCTATGTTTTATGCCTCCTAGCCTTGGAAAAAACTCGGACAGAATTATTTGACCTGAAAACAAAATATGATGAAGAAACTACTGCAAAGTAAGATTTCACCATTTTCTTTTTACATATCTTCCTTTGCTATCCCACCTTCCTAATTTTGCATGTTATCATTTGAAAGAAGGGTGAGATGGAAGTGGTTTGTAGTAAAAATGTGTAGGAAAACATTGGCATAATTGAATATCCTGTACTGAGACTGATTAAACTAGTGTTGTTTCTTTCAAACTTTCCACCCCCTAAAGCACACCTACCCTGTCCCTTCTCTGCTCCCAGCTTCCGTTCTTAATCCTGTATTTATGATGTTACACACAACCTATGCTATACTTGGAGGCAGAAGAATCTAAAATAAGATTTTTGTAGTAATCCCCCTCCTCCTTTCCTGGTCAGTGAATGAAGATTAATTCTGGATTTCATTGTAGCAAAGTTCCTTAGTTCTGCGTGTCTCCTAATTAGCAGGTATTAATTTGGTATGTATCAAAAGTGATCACCAAATGCCACAGAATTTCTCTATATTTAACAGCACATAATTGTGGAATTAGTGGATGAATTTTTGATTTTTTTTAATTGGTAACTACTATGGTTACTGCTTTCAGTTATAGCCTTGTTTTTATTATCACTGTCTTCATTGTTGGGCAGTGGCGTAGCTAGGATGGGCCAGGTGGGTGGGCCCTGACTTCTGTGGGGCAGGCAATGAGGGGGGCAGTCTCCAGCTGGCTATGGGGAAGAGAAGGAGAGTTACACTTGCCTTGCTGCCCCACACGGTGCTCCCAGTGGTGAGCAGGATTGGGGCTTGCCCTGCTCTTCCCACCCAGCCCACTGCTCCCAGCAGAGTTTGTGATGGTACTTGATTTCCTTCAGCTGCTCCCAGCAGAAATCATGGTTAAGGCTCCGGAGCTTGGCCATGCTCTAGTTGCTCGCTTCTCCTGGCAAGGAACGTGTTGGGACTCCGAGGTTTGGCTCCACTCCGGCTACTTGCTCCTCTTGGCGGGAAGCCAGGTCAGAGTGCCAGGACTTGTCCTAGCTCTGATGCTTCAGCCACCTAGCGGGATCGGGAGCTCATAAGCCCCCAACTCCACTCCCTGGCAGGAGTGCTGGATGAGCAGAGCAGAGCTAGCCCCCGACTCCGTTCTCCAGGTCTTCCAGCGCATTGGACAGAAAGGGGCAAGACTCCATGTCGGAGCAGAGCCAGGACAGTGGGTGGGTGGGCCTGAATCCTAAGTGTTGGGCCATGGCCCACCCGTGGCTATGCCCCTGCTGTTGGGCCCATCATTGTGTTTACATGAGTATGTGGCATGCATGTTCACAAGTCCAAAGTGCCTGAAAAGATCAACTCAGTGCAGGAAACAAGGGAAGAGAGGCAGATTATTGGTGTGTGTCTGTCTTCTTTTAAAACATTTTATTTGTTTGCATGTATCTTTTATTCAAAGAGAAAAAGGAAAGTTGGAAGTGGAAAGGAATTGTCATAACCCACTGCAGCTCTAATGTTCTGTTGAATCCAAAAGAGTTTCCCTTTTAGAAATGGCAAAGTAAAAAAGGAACAATTTACAGTCAAATTATAGCTTGGCTGTTGCAGGGGCATAACCAGCGCAAGATATCCCCTTACATACGAGTGCTGAAGTGTCTGTGTTAAGGGTGGCTGCACAGGATGGGAAAACGATTCCATAGAGTCCCTAGCTTCTCTCTCTTGTTTTGGATGGACAAAGCAGGAGGCTGCAACAGGCCAGAGTATGTGGTAGGGATGTCGACAAGTACCCAGTTACTCGGTAAGCATCATCCTTACTTGGGTGATGCTTACCAGTAATTGATTAACTGGCAGCCCGGCTGGGCTAGAGTGGCTCCCCGCCTATGGGATCCCAGTTAACCAGTTCAATGGAATGCTTAACATTCCGTTGAGCCGGTTAACCTTTTAACCAGGATTTTATATCCCGTGTGTGGAGCTTTGTTTCTGTCCTCTCCATCAAGTCAGCATGGTAGAGGAACATACTGTGTGATATAAGGACATTGGACAATTTGTTCTCTCCATGGAGCAGTGGGGGATTGGGTAGAAGATTGACTTCCCATGTCACAGCTTCCTTCTTGTATTTCTCCAGGGCAACAAAATATTACCTTTTTACATTGAGCCATAGCATATTGTCATAATTGCTAGTCTTATTACTAAAGAGGAATAGGGTTGTCCTGGTAGAGGTCTGTCAGTAGTAGGAGTCCGAAGTAGAGACCTGTTGGCATCCTTTCTTCAGTTGTGTCCAAATCTGCATCCAAGTTTAGTTCTTTTAAGAACTAATCTTGTAAATTCAGGGGATCCTTAACCCAATTGTGATCCTTGGGAGCTACAGTGCTTGAAATTTGCGACTGGGCCCTTAATTGTTAAGGTTCAGTGTTTACTATAGAAACAATTTTTATCCCCTTTTCTTACATGAACTCTGTAACTTGCATTTTTGAAATCTTAGTTGTTTGAAACACCTTATTCAGAACTTGGGTGTATTATATTTTCTTACTGGTTGCATATTTTCCAACTGACACATACTGCTGACTGTGTTTTTAATGGAGCAATAAATTAACATAGATTTTTGCTAACTTTCTTTTCTATTAAAAAAAAACCAACAAATGGTCTGGTGGCACTTTATAGACTAACAAAACATGTAGATGGTATCATGAGCTTTCGTGGGCACAGCCCACTTCTTTAGATGGCTGGAGTTCTATGGGAAATATAATTGATACTAGTTTTGTTGTTAATAGCGCCCGCCAGGGCATTTGTGTGTGCCCGCTGACAACCTGGGACGGCCCGGCGCGCGGCGCACTGGAGGCGCCGGCCCCGGGCACGCAACACGCACCGG